TATTTATTGAATTTTATATATATATAATTCATATATATATTCATATTCATATATATTCATATATAAAAATATATAAATATATAACATATATTTATATTATATTTATTTTCTATAAATATATATTTAAATATTTATATTTTATATATATTTATATATAATATATCTTATATATAAATATATAAATATATTTATATTTATACATAAACATTTATATATAATATAAAATATTTTATATATATAAAATATATATACCAGTATATATTATATTAATTATAATTGCTAGCTATATACAATATATAATTATGTTAATATATAACGAACATACTCCATAGTATCTATTCTCATTCACACAACTACTCCATGAGGCAGGCATTATTATCTGCATGTAGCAGATGAAGACACAGAAAGATGGAGGGATTACATAACTTGCTGAAGCACACAGCTGTGAAGCGGGAGAAGGTGGGACACAAGCCCTGTTAATCTATCTCCAGAAGCCATGTCCTTAACCACTATGCCATATGGCTTCTCATTAAGGGTTAATAAGAATTAGATGTGGTTACTATTATTGTCTTTACCTTTATTACCTACATAGGTTTTTATAATAAAATCACATACAAACCCACGGATCAATACAAAAAACAAATACAAATGTACCTGAAACATACATTCTTTTGAACCAGCAGGTAGTAATTTCAGCAAACTCATATGGGTAGATAATCCTATCTACAAAAATTGTGCTAGATCTTCATTAAAAGATCTATCCAATCCAGGTGGATTTGTTCTTAGTTACCTAGAACTAAACCTCCAGGAAAAAGAATTCAAATTTTAACAGAACATTTTAGAAAAAGAACACAACCAGGATAAAAGCACTCCATGTCCTCCTCAACTATTCATCATCTGGGGAAAAAAATTTCAAATATCTAGAATGTTGGGAAAAAAATTTTAAGAAAACGACAATCTCTTCAACAAATGGTGTTGGGAGAATTGGACAGCCCCATGCAGAAGAATGAAACTGGACTACTCTTTTAAAACCATACACAAAAGTAAACTCAAAATGAATGAAAGACCTAAATGTGAGACAGGAATCCATCAAAATCCTAAGGAGAGCACAGGCACCTCTTTGACATCAGCCAGAGCAACTCCTTCCTAGACATGTCTCCAAAGGCAAGAGAAACAAGCAAAAAGGAACTATTGGGACATCAAAATAAAAAGCTTTTGCACAGCAAAGCAAACAGTCAACAAAACTAAAAGCAACCTACAGAATGGGAGAAGATATTTACAAATGTCTTATCAGATAAAGTGCTAGTATCCATAAAGTATAGTGCTAGTATCTATAAAGCACTTATCAAACTCAATGCCCAAAAAAACAAAAAGTCCAGTCAAGAAATGGGCAGAAGACATGAAGAGATATATTTCTCCAAAGAAGACGTCCAAATGACCAACAGACACATGAAAAAATGCTCATCATTGCTCAGCATTAGGGAAATACAAATCAAAACCACAATGAGATACCACCTCACACCAGTCAGAATGGCTAAAATTAACAAGTCAGGAAACAACAGATATTGGCAAGGATATGGAGAAAGGAGAACCCTCTTACACTCTTGGTGGGAATGCAAACTGGTGCAGCTACTCTGGAAAACAGTATGGAGGTTCCTCAGAAAGTTAAAAATAGAGCTAACTTATGACCTAGCAATTGCAGTACTAGGTATTTATCTAAAGGATGCAAACATAGTGATTTGAAGGAGCAGCCCAGATGTCCATCAACAGATGAATGGATAAAAAAGATGCGGTGTGTACATACACACGCGCGCGTGCACACTGGAATATTACTCAGCCATCAAAAAGAATGAAATCTTGCCATTTGCAACAACAATGGATGGAACTAGAAGGTATTACACTAAGCAAGATAAGTCAGAGAAAAACAAACACCATATGATTTCACTCATGTGGAATTTAAGAAACAAAACAAATGAACACAGCGGAAGGGAAGGAAAAATTAAATAAGATGAAAACCGAGAGGAAGGCAAACCATAAGAGAGTGAACTCCAGGAAACAAACTGAGGGTTGCTGGAGGGGAGGTGGGTGGGAGATAACTGGGTGATGGGCAGAAGGAAAGCATTAAGGAGGGCACTTGATATAATGAACACCAGGTATTATATGCAACTGATGAATCACTAAATTCTACCTCTGAAACTAATAAAAAAAATTATGCTTCCATTAACTAAACTTTGTAACATTAAGAAGCTGTAGTTACTAAGCAAGCAAGGATGTAAAATAACTTAAAACAATCTAGGAATTCACATATAAGTGAAACCTGCTTGTAATATTTTAATGCTGAGGTCTGAAATAAATGTCTACATCTGTAATGTTCCCCTACTTTTCTACTTATTCATTTCTCAGCCCCTTAAAGAGCTGGTAAACTGAAACTGCACTGACATGTTTTCATCAAATTGCCTATTTCTAGATTATATGGAGGACTCAGTGCATGTGTTAGAGACCATCACTAGAAAGCCACTGACATGGTCCCACCAAAATGGCTAAAGGACAGGCACCTGGTACTTTCCAGGCACTTTCCTTTTTTTTTTTTTCTTTTAAAGATTTTATTTATTTATTTGACAGAGAGAGGTCACAAGTAGGCAGAGAGGCAGGCAGAGAGCCCGATGCGGGGCTCGATCCCAGGACCCTGAGATCATGACCTGAGCCGAAGGCAGAGGCTTTAACCCACTGAGCCACCCAGGCGCCCCTTCCAGGCACTTTCCATGCCTTCAATCCTCTGCAGATGCTGTTTTCTCTCCTTAAAAAGTCACCTGAAGAAATACTCATCTTCAAAATTCAGGTCAAATGAAATTAAGTAGGAAAGATGTCCCTGGTGTCCTTACTCACCAACATGCACTTATCCAATACCCAGCACAAAACCGACCACACAAATGGGGAGCAAGCAGTAAGCCAGTGTTCAATGGAGTAACTGTATTTCCTTATTTCTTTAAATATCCTACAGCAAGTTTCATAGTCAATTTCTTATAACTCCAGATGCCTGGTACAGGACCTGAAACTCACTGAATTTATTTATTGCTAAATAACTGAATTATCATTTTCTATTTTCGTGATAGAAAATAAATATTTTCCATACATTCAATAAACATTTGTTATGGGGTAAGCATAGTGTTAGGTAGAGGAGATACAGAAATGAGTAAGACATAGATCCTTAAGAAGCTCAACATCTTGTGGGGAAGACAAACAAGAAAATCGATAATCATTGTGCCCAGTAAAAAGCACTACTGTCAGTAGAAGTGCACCAAAGGTATTTTAAGGGTGCAAAGGAAGAGCACCAAAAATGGGTACCTAACTCGTTTATGTATAGAACAAGAGTCCCATAGACTAAGCTTCTATAATAAAGTATGAAGTTCTTTTAAAAAGTTTCTATAGAGATTGTCAGGAGGAAGAGTAGGTAGCACAAGAAAAATTACACTTTCCAGAACAACATCAGTTGCATACTTTTTTCGTTTTAGCCTCTGGTCCTCATGAAAATTTGGCATACAAACTGAAAAAAAGGAATTTTACAGGATATGTATGAAACAAAAATGTTGAGTCCTTGGCTGGGTTTACTGCAGACCAATGAAAGAACTGTTTGTTAAAATTTCAGCCAGCGAGACAGCAAAAAAAAAAAAAAAAAAAGTTTCGACACTCAAAAATATAAATAATCATGCCCTCAAGTATTGGCCATTTTATGAAGGTGAGGGATTGACATCTGGCTTTATGGGAAAAAAAAAAAAAGACTACCTGTGATCAAAATTACTTTGTGGCTAAACGTATCATCATTATTCTATGTTAGAACTTTTGATATCAAAAGAAAAAGCATATAATCTGAAGACTGACAGAATTCACATCTTAAAGACTTATGTTTCTAACAGAAGACATTCATGTAACAAGAATCTGTAAGAATTTCAGGGAAGACTCTTAACAAGGAACAATAACATATACATGTGTGCACATATGTAAACATATAGCTAAGTAACAATGAACATAAGACATGAAGTTGAAAAGTTTCACTTTATAACAGTGAGTTACCAACACCCTGAACAGAGAGCATAAAATTTTTGAAGCCAGTATTTCTCACATTTGCTTGCATCACCCAAAAAGTTTAGCAAAATACAGAGGACAGACACTAACATTTGATTAAGATTGAATATGAAACCTAAAAAAAAAAGACGAGCTCTCAGATTCAGAAAATAATTCAATGGGTTTTCAATTTCTGAAATCTATTAACTTTTCTAATACCATATCCAATAAACTATCACACTTTAAAAAAAACGTTACTTTTGGAAGTTGCAGTGAAATGGCAACAAAATATTTGGTAATGATTTTTAAGAAAAAACTTAAGAGTAAGACATGCAATTTTTTAATGGTGACTTTCATAGCTGTTGGCTAGAGGGAATTGTAAATCTAAAGTAACAGATGTCTTCTGAAAACAAAGTCAGGAATTTTTGAAAGCTGTCCCTATTAATAGACTGATTTCATTAGAAAAATCTGGAAAGAGCAAATGCACTTTTACAAGCAGCTAAAGTGTTTTTATGGAAGAGAGGTATTTACAAGCAGTTTATTAATAATAAAAGTGGTTTAACAGCAAAATTCTTTCTATAATCCTCAGTTTATTACATGCTAATCATTATGCTGCATACCAATTCTTATACAATTATACTTCCCATTGAAAGCAAATGATGGCAGTATAGCAGTCATGAGATTACTGTGGCTTTTAGATACAGTAATCTATAATTTATTCTATTAAACAAGATACTTCTGACAGTGAAGTGGAGCATTATTAATAATTTTACCACGATAATAGGCATAAACTGGTGCTGGACTTGGCAAACCAGGAAGAACTGTCATCCTTATTTTGGAGAATAGCATTTTAATTAATAATACAATTGTTAGGTTTTTAAATTAGTGTTACAAATAAAATTTGATTAAAGAGGGAATAGACATTAACATTTCCTTACCAATATCGATATATTTGGGATCCAAAGGTGTGCCAATAGAATTACAAAGAACTAGCACAAACTGTGAACAAAAAACAGAGTATGAGAATTTCTGCTTCTTAACGATAAAGGAAACAATGCTTAAAATATCATGCTTATCTCTTTAAAGTATCACAACTGGGAAATAACTGATAAGACTGTTAAGTGCAAAGAACATAATCTACAGCATTAAACATAAAGAAACATGAATTAAAATTAAAACAAGGCTGATTCCTCAAATCAGTTCAAAACAAGTTCCAACTAATGGAACACTGTTTTTTAAGAGGCCACCTAAGAAACACAAGTACACTGGCTACTTTTCATTATTTATACTTCTAAAATTCCTGATCAGCTGTAACCTCAAAACTCATTTTCATCCTACATAAGAACTAATTTGTTACCGTTGCACCAAATGTTCCCATCTCGTTCTCCTCCTTTGAAGCAATATAAAAAATTCAGAAAAAATCAGTTAACTCAGAAAAAAACATAATCCAATCTGGCGAAAAATGATTTACAATGCCCACTCGTTAGCACAAACACAATTACCAGTAATTAATATTAGGGAAAATAATCAAGTATAATGCGCACTTTACACCATATTATTCTAAAGTGATAATTTCATTTTTCTGTTAGTCACCTTTTCTATTATCTTGTGCTAAGAATACTATTTTACTTAGATGTTCTCCTGAAAAGAATGATTTCAAATAAACCAATTCTCTATGTACTATTTACAGTCTCTCTCTTTCATTTTTCAGCTTCTCAAGTAAAACTTCTTTAATTTCATAAATATAAACTAAATGGATCTTTATGCACTGTTGGTGGGAATGCAAACCATTAGAGCCACTGTCAAAAACAGTACGGAGGTTCCTTCAAAAGTTAAAAATAGAATCAGCCCATGATTGGGGACTTGCACAACTGAGTATTTACCGAGAAATATAAAAACAAGAATTCAAAGAGATAAATGCACTCTTATGTTTACTGCAGCTTTATTTACAATAGCTAAACTATGGAAGCAGCCCAAGTCTCCATCAACAGATGAATGGATAAAGAGAATGTTGTGTATCGATACATATGATGGAATATTATTCAGCCATTAAAAAAAAAAAAAATGAAATCCTGCCATTTGCAACAACATGCTTGGAGCTACAGAGTATAATGCTAAGCAACATAAGTCAGAGAAAGACAAAGACCATATGATCTCACTCATATGAATTTAAGAAACAAAACAAATGAGCAAAGAAAAGAGAGAGACAAACCAAGAAACAGACTTTAACTCTAGAGAACAAACTGATGGAGGCAGGCTGGGGGGACGGCTGAAACAGGTAAAGGAGATTAAGAGTACACTTGTCAAGATGAGCAGTGAGTCATGTAGAACTGTTGAATTGCTATATTGTACACCTGAAACTAATATAACATTGTGTGTTAATAATACTGGGATTCAAGTTAAAGATTTAGGGGCACCTGGGTGGCTCAGTCAGTTGAGTGTCTGACTCTTGATTTCGGCTCACGTCATGATCTCAGGGTCCTGAGATCAAGCCCTGCATCAGGCTCCATGCTGACAACAGAGTCTACTTGAGATTCTCTCCTTCTCTCTCTGCCCTTCCCCCCTCCCCCCCACCACCCCCCATCCTGCCCTATTCACATGCAGGCACACAGGCTTCTCTCTCTCTCTAAAAACAAATAAATAAAATCTTTTAAAAATAAACAAAATTAAAATTTGAATGAAAAAATGGAAGAATGTTTAAAAAACTTACTAAGAAACTAAAGGACAAAAATTATATCGAAATATAATTTATTATTCCACTACTTAAAATAAGCTGATTTACTGCCATAAAGTGCCACAAATAACTTGTATTTTTTAATCCACATATAATCTACATGCTCAAGGTTAAAGAATGAAGTAGTTCCATAAGACTTCTTACTAAAAAACAGAAGTTCCTCCCAACTTCCCATTTTCTGCTCCCTGAAGTAACAACTTTCAGCTCCTTTAACTCATCCTCTTAATATTTACCCACACAAATCTAAGTAATGTGTTTATGATGCTAGGTCTTGTTTTGTTCAGTTTCAATCTGGGACATTCTCTGACTTCCCACTATCACAGACAGGTATGTAACTCTCTTTCAGCCCCCTTCCCAGCACCCAACACAGGGGCGCACTCCTTTGCCTCCAGCTTTCCACCTACCATTTTGTTAGATCAGAATTTCAGGGGTTAATATGGTCATTACACTCCAAATAAAAAGGCTCTATTTAATTAAAAATCCACTTAATTAAAAAATTCATTTAAAAAACATCACTTTGACTATATAAGTGTTATTCATTGCTGAGTTGTGTGTCACAATTTATTCTCCTTTCAAGTGCATTTCGCTTTCCCTGCAGTTGGTAATTGTCTTTATTTTTTCTCTTTGCTAGGTTCTCTGTATTGATTGCTAACTTAAGTCCCCTCTTAAGGGTTCAACCACATTAAGTGTCCTATTAATTTCATCTTGAGTTTCCTCTGGAGCCATGGGACATGCTGTCACCTGATGATAGCGCAGGCGCGCCACACACTGTCAGCCGGTACCACTCTTCACCATTGCTCTCAGGTTACCAACTTCTTCCTCTTTCTTGGTCCAGTCCTCATTCTGATTGGCCATATCCTAAAGTAACTAAGAAAGCTTGGAAGGTAAATTTTTGGTGACCTTGTACATCTAAAAATGTCTTTTGCCTACCTTCATTTTATTTTATTTTATTTTTTCACACAACACAGAAAGCTTTGTTCATCCACACCATTCCACAGAATGGCAGGCTCACTTTAGTATGCTGTCATCTTGGGCTACTGCCAGTTCTCTCTCAATCCATTTCTGCTCATCCTGTTTCTTTTTCTCCTCAGCCGCTCTCCTCTTTTCCTCTTCTGCCCAAGGTTTCAGGTAACTTGAGCTTGGCTCCATAGGCAATTCCAAGAAACAGGCAGAGTAGTGACCAAGCTTGATGAGCAGAGAGACAAGCACCGGCGACATCATCTCGTTCAAAACCTTCACGCCAGAAGGACAATCTGCCTCCCACCTTCATTGTAATTTATAGTTTGCTGAACATACAGAATTCAAGATGGGAAATCATTTTCCCTCAAAATTTCAAAAGCAATTCTCCAAAGTATCGCTATTGACAAGTTTAATGCCATGATGACATCTGACCCTGGGAAGTCTGTTTTTCTGAAAGCTTTTTTTTTTTTTTTTAAAGATATTTATTTATTTGACAGACAGAGATCACAAGTAGGCAGAGAGGCAGGCAGAGAGAGAGAGGGGGAAGCAAGCTCCCTGCTGAGCAGAGAGTCCAATGCGGGGCTCGATCCCAGGACCCTGAGATCATGACCCGAGCCGAAGGCAGAGGCTTTAACCCACCAAGCCACCCAGACGCCCCTTTCTGAAAGCTTATGAAGGATCTTTCTACCCCCAGTGTTCTGAAATTTCACAACAATGTGCCTTGATGTGGAAATATTTTCATTCACTGAGCAAGGAACTTTCAATCTAGAAACTCAAGGGAAATTTTCTTGGATATTTTCTTCAGAATCACTCTCCTCCACTTTGCCTGCTCACCGAACTTCCAGGTCCGGTCCTCTGACTTTCGTATCTATTCCCTCATGTTTTCAATTTCCTTGTCTTTTTGTTCCACTTTACAGGAGTTTTCCTCCATTTTATCTTTGAACTCCTCTGCCAAATTTTTCATTGCTCTTATCATATTTGTAATATCCAAAAACCTCCTTTTCTATAGCGTCCCTTCCTTTTTTTTTTTTTTTTTTTTTGCGTCCCTTCCTTTTTATGGATGTAGCATCTCTTAACTCTAGGAAGATACTCTGAAATGATTCTTCCGCATTGTTCTTCTCCCTGCAGAGTCTTTGCTTCCTCCCAATCCTTTTCTCCTTGTGTTTATTTCTTTGTGTCTGTTCAATGAGATGCTTTTCTCAAATGTCTGATAATCCTTGTCTATCTACTTCAATTTAAGAGAAAGACACTGAAAAGCTGTTTGGAATCTATTTTTTATGAGTGAGCCCCATGACTCTGGTCTTCACAGTAAGGTGATGGGGCAGGGATCTTTCCTTGGGGACTCCCCATAGGAGTAACTTTAAGAGGTCTTTTCTCTTGAACGGGTCAGATTCCTCAGACAGGATTCTTTATATGCCTTTTTTTTTCCTCTTTCCTTCTTGCGTAATCTCTAGTACTTCCAAATTGTTTTCCCATTTGTTTCTTTCTCCTACCAGGTACTATTAAGTCCTGTCTTGTGTCTCTTCAGGATTCTGGGATGAAAACCAGTTACTTCTTTGCTTTCTCCATTGATGACTTGGGATTCAGCTTTCTTAGGTCTGCTAAGGTCATTACCATTAATCCACCTACTCTTCAACCTCCAAAACTATGTTGCCATTTCCTCTCCCTTTCTGCTCCCTATGGGCTTATGACTTTTTTAAAAATACCGTTATTGTTGTTTTGTGAGTTTCAGGAGAGAACAGAGCCAAAGGTGGCTGTTCAAACGGCCTCCTTAAACTAAAAACTCTATACTTTTTAATGGGATAAAATAATCTATAACCCAGCCAAAGACAATGGTAACCCTTTTTAAAAAATTTATATGCTTCTGCAAGTATCTGAATTGTTAGCATACTTTTAAAAAAGGCATTATTTACATTATTTATTTTACACTCTGAGACATTGATTTTGAAAGCACTATAATTCCAAATAAAAGTATATTTCTCAATGTCAAAGCTACCCAAAATGTTATAATGGCCATCGTTACATAATTTCTCGAGCATTTATACTAGACATCTGGATATTCATTTTTTCTTGTGGAATTTTAACTTGGAAAAGGATTATGGCACTTGAAATATATCTTAAAAGAAAAAAGCTTCTGTACTGAACTGGTCAATATGAAATGCTAATGGATTCGCTGACTGGAGGGAAAAAAAAAAAATGGGACAGAGAACCAACGGAGCCACATAATTTTTCAGAGGTCTAGACAGACACGGCCAGTAGACCCAACACTCTGCTGTACCTACCAATACAGAGGCTATGCTGGAAAAGGTAGAGGCCAACCCATCTTAGTTTTAACACAGAAACGAACACCCACCTGAGGATGGTTTTCATCAGCTTTTGTAGCCAAAATGCAGAAATCTCCACAAGTAGTAATCGAAATGAGACTCTTCACATATTTAACATATTTCTCATTATTTTTCGTATCCCAAAAGATAACACAATACTCTGGACGATCAGGTCTGGTATAAGCATAAACGACAGTGTTTGAGCAATAACCCCACTAGGAAGAAAGGAAGGAGCAAAGGACAGGAGGGAAGAAGAGAGGGAGAGAGAGAGAAAAAGAACATTTAACACTGTTAAAGAAAAATCTTATTATATACTGTAAATATGTGGTTTTTTGATGCTGACCAAATATCTTCTTCAGGAATAGAAGATAGAAGGACTGAACATTCACCTTAATACCTTTTCTCAGTAAAGTAACAACAACAACAAAGATCTAAAAGTAATATAGTTATCAAACAAAGAATGTACTACAAAAATAAATTTATTTTAACTTTCCTTATTTTCATTTGTAAGATTTAAGCTTCAGTGGTGAAAATTTCAGATTTTTCAATAGTCATTAACAGCTGCATGGGGGACAACAGGGAAGAATGATCCCTATCAAAAGTTTAAATTCTGGGTCCCCAAGCCAAAATTCAAAAACAGATGCTTTGCTTTTTTTTTCCCCATCCACATTTTCTACATTTGTTTTCACCAGAGTAACATGTGCACATAGTTTAAAGTCAAATAATTCTATGTGGTTAATTTAAAACAAAAATAAAATGCAGACCCCACTGACTAATTTCCTCCCAGGGGTAGTCATTTACAAGTCTGAACTTTGACTGTTTTGTTATTTATCTCCATATCATACACGTATTGATGGTGGAACTTACAGAAGATAATGGAACTTCTTTCTCTTGGCTAACTCTCCCAATATATTCATACCTAATTTTTAATAAATCAGCATTCAGAACTGATATTATTATGACTGTGTTTACTATTCAAAACTAAGGCATACTTATTTTTTATACCATGATTATTTTTTCAAATAAACTTTTTACTTAAAAATAATTTTAGATTTATACAAAAGTTACAAGGATAGGGGCTCCTACGTGGCTCAGTTGGTTAAGTGTCCGTCTCTGGATTTCAGCTCAGGTCATGATCTCAGGGTTATGAGATCGAGCCCCGTGTCAGGCTCTGCACTGGGTGTAGAGCGTGCTTAAGATTCTCTCTCTCCCTCTCCTTATGTGCCCCCCCCACTACTCGCACATGCTCTCAGTCTAAAAAAATTTTTTTTGAAGTTACAAGGATAATACAGAGTTCCCTATACCCCTCTCCCTATTGTTAACATCTTACACTACTATGGTACATTTGTCGCAACTAAGAAACCAGCACTGATCCAGTCCTATTAACTAAACTTCACACTTTATTTGGATTTCATTAGTTTTTTTCTTAATGTCCTTTTTCTGTCCCAGAGTCCTATTTGGGATGCATTATATGTAGTGTCAGATCTCCTTAGACTCCCCTGGGCTGTGATGCTTTCTCAGTCTTTCCTTCTTTTTAATGACCTAGACGGTTTTAAGGAGTACTGGTCAGGTATTCTGCAGAATGTCCTTCAGTTCGGGTTTGTCTGATGTTTTTCTCCTGTTTAGAGTGGGATTTTCAGTTCTTAGCGAGATCATCACAGAAGCGAAGAGCTCTTCTCATCTGCCACATTGGGGGTACATGAGATCCATGTGACATCACTTGATAATGCTAGCCTTGATCGCCTAGACAAGGTGGTGTCCGCTAGGTCTCTCTTAAGTGACTTTCTTTTTTCCCCTTTCCATAGCCTGCTCTTCGGGAGTGAGTCACTAAATGCAACTCACGTTCAAGTTAGGGAAGCAGGGGACTGGAGGGAGTAGTATCTAAGTAATTCGAATACTTCTGTAAGATTTGTTTCTTCTCCTCTGTTTATTTATTTAAATAATTTATTTTAGATCAGCTCTTGCTCTTGGACATTTATTTTATAATTTGGTTTTATAATTTGGTTACAATCCAAAGTTACATCATTTATTTTGTTGCTCAGGGTGTTCCGGTTTTGGCCATTGGGAGCTCTTCCAGGTTGGCTCTTGGTCTCTTCGATATGCCCCATCCTGCTGTTTTGAGCACGTCCTTACTTTCTGGCACTATCAGAGACTCCAGGTTCATCCTGGACTTTTTCCTTCCCAGTCCTAAAATCAGACAGTTCTCCAGGGTGGTTTGCCTTTTAAAAATGAAGTAGGTTTTCCATAACAAATATTATTAGTAGTTTACCAGATTGATTAACCTCATACTTCCAAATTTGTTTTGGGTCAAGTGTTAAATATAAGATAAGATATTGATTAGTATTGGGGCACTGGGGTGGCTCAGTCAGTTAAGCATCTGCCTTCGGCTCAGGTCGGGATCCCAGGGTCCTGGGATCAAGCCCTGCATCGGGCTCCCTGCTCAGTGGGGAGCCTGCTTCTCCCTCGCCCACCTTCCTGTTTCTCTCTGTCTCAGAAATAAACAAATAAGCAAAATATTTTTTTAAAATATTGATTAGAATTATGCTATTTATTCTCATTTTCCCCCTTCTGATCCATTCCCTCTCTCTGATCTTCTTTATCCTGCTGTTCCCTGGAGACTGATTTCTATGAACTGCAACTCGCAGGCTACGTTGCCTTCCGGTTTCCAGGTGGGTCCAGCCAACAGAAGGCACCAGCAGGTAGAGAGATGGGCTGAAGTATTTCCTCCCCAAAAGTGTTTCTACCCAGCCAGTCGGCAGAGGCTGTGCTCCCGCAGGATAATTCCTCTTGCATAGCCACAGCTCTAGTGGGTTCCAGGAACAATACATTCTTATCTTGCCCCCTGTTGCTACCCCTGCGCACCTGCATTGTCATCACTTACTGGACCCATTAGCCATGCCCGGACATCTGTAATAAACCCTCCATCAATCTCTCTTCAATTATTCCTTTGAGTGTGCCATCTGTTTCCTGCTGAGACCCTGACGGTCAGGAGTATTTTATTAATTATGTATAGTATTCTAGGAGAGTTTTCAGGTTCTAAAGTCTTTACACTAAAAACATCTCCTTTCATCTGGTGTCTAAAATAAAGTGGCTGCAAACACATGCAAGAAACATACATTATACTTAGAGCTGTAACAGAATTCTTTACTAAAAACAGCTCTTTTTTTAACAACTGCTCACAATACTCACCTTATAATCAGGTCGAATGTTTGCAAAATATATAAACGAATCAACAGCTAGTGCAATTTTCAGTCCTCCTCCTTCCCAAGACAGTGCAGACATCTGCTTTCCAGGAACTTTCAAAGTGCCTAAATGCTGAAAAAATAATTATGTTTAATCTAAAGTATCACAATTAAATAAAATATAAATTACCACCAATTATTTCATAGGAATTAAAGGTGTTATAAAAATTATTTTGGGAAAGGTCACTACTCACTTTAAAATCATTTTCCTTGAATTTTTATAATGAAAAGCGTACTTATGATAGGAGAAATTTACAAACAAAAGTGAAAGAATTCAGTATTAAATTTCATCAAGTCTAAGATGCCAGAACCTAAATATGCATATTTATGTACAACTCAGGAAAGAATAAAACACATTGCTAATTAAAATAGGATAACTTTGATTATAAGACACATTCTGATTCTGGAGTTTTAAAAAATTCTGCTTCTTGGGGGCACCTGGCTGGTTCAGTGGGTGGTTGTGGGTTCGAGCCCCATGTTGGGTGCAGAGATTACTTAAAAAGAAAATCTTTTTTAAAAAATTGTGCCTCTCAGAATGAATGAATTATTGTGGTAGTAAATGCACTTTTTTTTTTTAAGATTTTATTTATTTGACACAGAGAGAGAGAGAGACAGCAAAAGAGGGAATTCAAGCAGGGGGAGGGGGAAAGGGAGAAGCAGGCTGCCACTGAGCAGGACCCCAATAGGGGCTCAACCCCAGGACCCTGGGATCATGACCTGAACTTAAGGCAGACAGACACCCAGGCGCCCCTGTGGCAGTAAATGCAGTCTTTAAGTCTGGCCTCTTTCTCTTTCATGCTCCACAGCCAATCAGTCACCAATTCCTATTGCTTTCGCTCCCATCTTCCTCCTTTCCTGAATGAACTATGGTAATGGTCTAACTGCAATCTTTACCTTTTATATCTTTTCTCATTCCCAGCCTCTACCACCCCAAATTCAATATTCATTCTATTGTCAAAATTACCTTTCTGGAACACAAATATCCAATCATATCTTATCCTGCTTTAAAACAAATGTTTAATAATTTTTAAAAATCAACAGCTTCCCACCATCACATTCTTTAGCAGAGTATACAATGCCTCTTCCCATCTGGCTCAAAACTATACTCTTTGGCTCAGTACTTCACTATTTAGCCATGATTCCTGTGTTCTCCCTCATGACAGAGCTACTGTCCCTCCAAACCTTTGACCTGGATAATATCCCTTCTGTCTGAAATCTTCCTTTCCTCTCCCCACGCCTTCCCGGCCTTACTCTCCCTTGTCCTCCTGGAACATGGTCTCCATCCTCCAAAATGCAACTTTAATATTGTTTCCTGCCTTCTCCTTCCTTCTACAGGTCCAGAAAATTCAGAAAGTGAGCTACCAGAGAGCACTAACTTATATTCATAACTCATATTCACATTTATGTCCCTATCCCTTAATGGACTGCTTGGTAAACAGGTACTCAAAAATATCTATTAAGTAAATAAATGTATCATGCATTCAAATTAATATCTTCATATGTAAAGACATGCTAGATACTTTTAATTATGATATCAAACCAACTCACAGTTTTTAATTTAACATAATAGCCCATTTTTATGGCTAAATTAACAAGTGAATAAATTAATACAAAGACATTTTAATGTGGCCATGAAAAGAAAATATTGTAAATCTATGCTTTTTGACAGACCCAAGAATTTTAATAAATCATACTGGTATCCCTTGTTCTTAAGCAGATATGCTCTGAAGTAGGGTTTAATGTATTAAACTCCATTTTGCCAGGGAAACCGATGGGGGTAAAAATGTTTTAATCTAGGAGGGTCCACTCTTATCTGTCCTGCTGCCTGCATGAAACCAAAAGGAGCGAGCAGGTTCTCCCAGCAGCACTCGTGGTAGTGATGAGCCTCACTGGGAGGAGAATAAGGCCAGCCAGGTGATGGCAGCACAAGGAGAGAAAACCAACTTGCAGTAAGTACTCACTAAGCACTGGGGTAGGCATTTTCTCATTGTGACCTCCTGCAATTATTACAACAGTGCCATGAGGTTAACCTGTATTTCAGAACATAAGTAAACTGAGTCTCAGAGGTGAAATAAGTTCTCCAAGTGAGACAACACTGTGGAAATGGAATTCACAACCAAAGCCAGGCCAGCCTGACAACAAATCACATGCTATGTCACCCCCTTCCCTGGCTAAGACCACAGTATAAAAACCAAAAGACTCAGGCTTTCAGAATCAAAAGCAAATTCTTCCCTGACGTTTCCTTAAGTTTAAATCTTTAGATAATAACTTCCTTCCAAGTTACTTCCCCTATGTTAATAACATAGATCCAAAATAAGTCCCCTATATATTCACTCATTCAAAAAAAAAAAAAAAAAAAAAATACTAAGTGACTAATTCACCCTACGGAATTACGCTAGATACTTTTCACTACAATCATGCCAAACCAACCAACAGTTTTCAATTTGACACATAACACACTGTTTTGCAAGATAAAACAAATAGGCCTTAGAATCCATGTTTTTCTATTTTAGAAAAGGTTGAACTAACAAAAATAAGCAGACAAAATAATATAATGATAAATAAGCTAATGGCTGACAAAAATAACAAAGAGCATGAATTAAGAATGAATTCAAATTTTTAATAGTTAGGAACCTTGAGAACTATACTCCTGTTTTCTCTTGGGTTTTAACAGCTACCAGAAATATAATTAGTTGGCAATATACAATCTATTCTCTACATCACATTCTACTAGATATTTTGAGATATTGATTCAAAAAATGAGCTGATACCATTTCTTACTCTCACAGAAATTACTAAAATGTATTTTAAAATATTAAAACAACCAGGGAAGGGTTTTGTGTAGCAATAACACGTATTAATGAAGTCTGTGGTGAATTTATAAAAACCAATAGGGACTAGAGTCAAGAAACAGAAAATAAAACAGGTAAAAAGTTACTTAAGCTTAGTAGTAAGTTCTCACTTTCCAAATTCTTTAAAATTCACAATATATTAATTCTCCTATTTGATATTTTCTAGTAGTTCTTCAATAAAATTCTCCTTAAAAATTAAATTCATTAGGTGTCCCTGGGTGGCTCAGTAGGTAAAGCAACTGGTTTTGGCTCAGGTCATGGTATCAGCATCCTGAGAGAGAACCTTGCTTTGGGCTCTGGAGTCAGCACAGAGGCAGCCTGTCCCTCCCTCTGCTTTTGCCCCACCTTTTCTGCCATGTACATTCTCTCTCAAATAAATAAATAAATAAATAAAATCTAAAAAAAAAAAAAAGGTAATACTACTACTGAGAAGGATAACACATGCATTTATGAAAATAATACTTTTATTTTAATGTAGCATCACTTAAGATTAGTTATTAAAATAAATTTTCTTAAAATAGTTGGCTATTTATCAACAAATTAAAACTGCTGGAAGTCTGAAGGAGGGAGGGGCGCCTGGGTGGTTCAGCTGGTTAAGTGTCTAATTGGTTAATTTCGGCTCAGGTCATAATCTCAAGGGTCCTAGGATTAAGCCCTGCTTCAGGCTCTGCACTCAAGGGAGTCTGCTTGGAATTCTCTCCCTCTCCCTCTGCCACTCCACCAACTTGCACGCTCTCTCTCAAATAAATAAATAAAATCTTAAAAAAAAAAAAAAGTCTGAAGGAGAAAGAGACAGATAGGTATGTTTAACATCTATCAGAAATCACATTAAAAATCCAAACTATTAACCCAAAACAATGAAATTATATTAAAAACAACTGAAAAACCAGCTAGGAAAAAAGATGCACATTCAGATCACAGAGAAAATATTCTAAATAACTACTGCACAGTGATTTCTTAGGTGAAACAGCTCATTTTCTAAATGTACAGAGTATATTTGATAACATACAACTATCAAGACTTGCAAGTGAGGATATTATTCAAAGACAAGACGCAGGATACTCTATCGTTTTTACTCAAAAAGACCCTTTCCAAAAATATGGCACGTTTACACCACAACCTCCATTCTTTTTTCCCCTGCCTTACTCACTACACAGGAAAGGAAAAAGACGTCTACCTCACCAAATGGAGTGTAAAACTGCACGGTGTTCACGTCTTTATCCTGAGTGACAACCTTCTGGGAGCCCGCCACAGCCAACACGCTGCCCATGTGGTTCCACTGGATACTCACCACATACATGCCGGTGTCAATTAAAACAGGATCTACTCAGAAAGAAAAAAAAATGAGGTAATTGTGGTAAAACACTTAGCCTACAGAACTGTATAATCTTCAGAACAATTTTAAAATGCTTTTTAAGTTCTCCACATTAAAAAAGAAAGAAAGAAAGAAGAATTACATACTTTGGTCATTCTCGTGCCTCATGATTTGGCACCGCCCATTGTCAAAACAAATCGCCAGGCAGGGGCAGTCTGGTTCCACGTAGCCTTCCGTGCCGTGGTACCAATGAATCCCGGCAATACTGATCGCTCCAGTGACGTTCACCAAGCAATTCAGTTTCATTTTCATCTAAACAGAATCGGGTTAATAGTTCATCTTTTAAAACCCGTCACCTTAGGGTATTGTAGAAAGAACACTGAAAGTGGGATTTAAAAATCTGATTTCAAACGCCAGCCCTGCGGCTTACTGATTTATCAACCCTGGGACAAACCACTTCAACTGAGTTTCAGTTTTTCCCTCTTGCAAAATGAGGATTAAAAAAAATTCACAGAAAATTTATGAGACTAAATGACAAGCGGTATATGAAAGTACCTCAAAAAGAGCCAAGCGTCATGGAAAAGTTGGCTATTATCACTTCCACCAATAAATAGATTTCTGTAATGTTCTCAGCCTCACGACAAACAAAAGTGCCCCATAAGTAAGATCAGAGATCAAACACAGCTAAATCCCACAAGCCCAAGAGTTTTTCTTGAGATCATGCTAGGTGAGTCTCTTCTATTTTGCCTGCTTCCCAGGACCTGATTTTTTGTCCCTTACTGTTGAAGTCTTCCATTCTTTTTACAAACAGCTTTGAGTAGTTTGCTACAAAAATATCATTGGAAAAAAATACATATATATCATTGGTATCTCACGTAAACTTAGGCTTCTGCTATTAGAAGACACAAAGATTAAACTGTACCACATTCAACTCATTACCCCTCAGCTTCAATACACTGAAATCTTGTCCTTCCCAGTTACCAAGAATTCTGAACTAAAAGCATTAATTTACCTTGAAGTGACCTAGTCTCTTTTAATTAAGAAATCTAAATGATTGGAAAAAAAACTGAATTGAAGACCTTCTTGATGACACAAACCATCATAATGAATGCATATACATATATGAATGATACATAAAATAATCACATAAAATGGTGTAACCAAAACTAATGAATATATGAAAATATATGCACTTACTATAAAATTCCCCTGATTATCATAAATGTGTATTTCTCCATTTGCCATTCCAAAAAGTAGGATTTTACTATCTGCAGACCATGCTACATGGCATAACTGTATACCCTTCAAGTCTTTTCCCCAAATGCGATTCCCTAAAATAAAACATAAAACATAAGTTCAAGGTCATGATTCTTCAATAACTGCCCCCAAAATATGTTTCCCTGAAGAGAACTCACATTCTTCATAGCACAATGTATTTGCTCAACTTATGCAGTCAATAAATATTTACTGAGCACCTATCATGTGCCAAACACCCTACTAAATATTTGAAATAGCAGCTGTTTCCAACTTTCCCCCTTCTCTTCAAAACTCTAATCTAGGACCTTACTCCCAATTAGCAGATGAATTCATCTTCAACCCTGGACAGAAAATAAAAGCTTTCAAAAAAGAAATCCCTCATTTCCACCTTCAAACATTCAGGACAAAACTGAATCCATAATAACCCTTTCTGCTTTGCCCCCTAAAAACAAAGTAAGGGGTGTATCTCTAACCAGACACCCATCTAGGGTGAATCCCTCCACCTACTTACTGGTCTAAGCCCTTCCTAGCTTTGCAAAGATCTATCTCCACTGATTATTCACATTTTCTCTTACTCTTCTCTCCAGGCCCTTTCGTACGAGTATTTAAATATACTCAGATCTATCCTTCTTCAAAACTACCACCTCAAATAAAAACAAACAACAAAACAAGGAACATCTCCCTCAACCCCAAGTTCCCTTCTAGCCACTACCCTATAACTTCTTGAAAGAGTTCACACCTGCAGTCACCACTTCCTCACCTCCCACTCAACCCTGAGCCCAACCCAACCCGGCTTCCACCCCATACGTCCACTGAGATGACCTTCAGGAGGTCCCTAATGGCCTGTTGCTAGGTCCACTGCAGGCTTTTCTTTAACCACCCCTTCCCTCTTACTTGGTTTCTGTGCATTCGTTTACTCCTTTATCTCCAACACTTATGTTGCAGGTTCTTATTCCACAGGTAGCTCCTAGGTTTTTCATCTATTCCAATGGTTTAAATTACCATCTATATGCTGGTGATTCCCAAAAGTATGACTCTAGCCCAGATGCACACACATAACTATGGTGTGACATATTTTACTTGGTTGTCCTACAGCATGACAAAATCAACATGTCTGAAAATGAAATGTTCCCTCACAACCAGTCTTTCTCCCACATCCCTTATTATTTTTTTTTGTTGTTGTTTAGGATTTTATTTATTTGACACAGAGAGAGAGAGAGAGAGAAGAGGTGAGCATAAGCAGGAGGAGTGGGAGAAGGAGAAGAAAGCTCCCCGCTGAGGAGGGAGCCTGATATGGGGCTCCATCCCAGGACCCTGGGATCATGACCTGAGAAGGCAGACACCTAACCAACTGAGCCACCCAGGCACCCCTCCCACATCCCTTATTTTAATGGCATCGGCATTTGTCCAGTTGTCAAAGCTAAAAATCTGGCTGTTATTCTAGACACTTCCATACCCTCATCCCCAAAATGATCAATAATGATGCCCTACCTATTCTACCTCCTAAGTATCTCCTGCATATGTCTACTTATTTCCAGCCTGTTTGTCACTACCCTGGTTCAGCCACCATCTACCACCACCTCTCACCTGAATCACCATAGTATTTTCTGATACACCTGCCCCCTATCTTTCTTTCCTCCCTCCAGTCTTCATGTTGCAGTCACAGAGATGCTTCCAAAGAACAAAGGCGATCACCCTGCTCCCAATCTTAAAACCTTTCTTTGGCTCCCCAGTACCCTTAAATTTAAATCCCAACTCCTCACATAGCTTATGATCTGCATAATCTGGCTTCTGCTAATGTCTCTAATTTCATCACACGCAACTCTTCTCCTTTTAGTAATATACTATACTGACTCTCAAAATTTTTTCAATACCCTAAACATGGCTAAGTTCAACCCCTGAGGGCCTTCTTAAATGCTACTTCTTAGGCCTAGGACACTCTACAAACCAACCTTCCTGGTGCCTAATGCCTCAGCACACATCACCTTCTAGGATGCCTTCCCTGATCCCTCCAAGCCTGGGTTAGATACTTCTACTGTATGTTGCTATATTTTCCCAGTCTCAGCACTTACCACCAGGCACTGTAATGCCTGGTTACATATCCATTTCTCCTGCTCTAGATCTGAAATATTTTTTGTCATACCTAGTGCCTAGAACTATAGCTGTGACTTTGTAAGCTCTCAGAAGCATTTGTGGAATAAATGAAGTTACACTAGAAAAAAACAAATGGAAAAATGAAAATCATTTTCAAATAAATTCTCTAGAGAGTTCCACATTAAAGTAAAGGTACAGACTCTCAGAAGCCCCAGTTATCTAAATTTAGTTATCTAAATAACTAAAATTTGAAAAACACAGGTTTTAAAGCTATAAAACACAAGTAACAATAACATGCTCAGGTCTCTTTAAAAATGACCAGATGATCACTTTACGACATATAAAAATATCATACCATTATGCTGTACATCTAAGACTAATGTTATATATCAATAATATTCAATGGTTCAATTTTTAAAAAATAACCAGAGACTGTTACATCCCTACATACTTTTTGAAACTAAGATCTACGTATTTATAATAGCCTAACAAGTATAAAAATGAAGTATAACTAGGCAGACATATTTAAAATAATCCTGAAAAATTAATTCACTCTTTTTTCAATGCCACTCTAGGACATTTTTTAAAAATAGATTTTTTACTTGAGTATACATAAAAATATATGTTTCTTAGGGGCACGTAGGTGGCTCTGTTGGTAGAGCCTGAGACTCCTGATCACAGGGTTGTAAGGTCAAGCCCCACGCTGGGTGGAGGGTTTACTTAAAAAAATTAATCTTAAAAAAAAAAATAAGTGTTTCTTGAACATCATCAAATTGTGTAACAACTGTGTTCTCTTTTTATGTTTATTTTTGTCAGAAAGCTAACATATAATTAATTAAACCTCTAAGGATAAAAATGCCAACCAAATCTTGATCTTAGTTCTATGTACAACAAAGCATTACCATCCACTGAACCGACGATCACAGCCCCGTCTTCGTACACAATGCAAATCTTCTGTCCGTCGGCGTTCCAGCTCATACTTCGAACCACTGATTTATTTCTATTATTGATCATCTCTTCATACCAAGAGCCTTTTTGCACAAATTTTTTAAAAAATTACAAGTCAAAACTTTCATGTAGTTGAAAACATTCCATAAAACGCACTGTGGGATAAATAACTGCAAAATTTTCTACAATCTGAAATGTTAAACTATAAAACCTTCAAATCCAAAAATAAATAAATAAATAAATAAAAAATAAAAAATTAGCTGAGGCCTTGACCAACAACTGCTTCAAAGATTATCACAGAAAACACAATAAACGCCCACATTTTCTCTCTTTCTTCCTTCCTTTCTATTCATTAAAAAATAAAACTTTATTCACTTTTGACAGGTCAAAGTAACTGATTTTTATCAAAGCCTAAAACTTCAGATGATAACCAAGGAAAAAACAAAATAACAAGAATTTTATATGCATGCATAAGCTCTCTAATGACTAACTATAAGCATATTAAATACAAGTACATTAGGTAAAACTCTAAGCCTGTTTGAAAAAAATTTTTCAATAGTTCAAATCACTTTAGTGATTTCACACCAATAATGCAGAATGATAAAAAACATTCTTGCACACAGAGCTGGAGTGACAGGTCTCAAAATGTAACTGAATGTGAGGCAAATCATAAGCTTATTTTGTTTTGCTTTTATTTTTTTACCACATTTTGGTATCAGGGATTCTGGCCCTATAGCTAACCAAATTATCACATAATTTGAAATAAATTTGAAATAAATAGCCGAGGAGGGCATTATCAGAGTCAGGATTGAGGCCCAGAAAACACCCACTTTGGAAAAAGTTTACCCTAATCTCCTGTACTCTCATATTCTACTCCCTGCCCAGACATACACATATATACATAAACTTTGAAAAACATAAATAAATTCATGTACAGTATATATTTTTTAGAGATTTTATTTATTTATTTGAGAGAGGGAGAGAGAGAGATCACAAGTAGGCAGAGAGGGGGAAACAGGCTCCCTGCTGAGCAGGGAGCCCGATGAGGGGCTCGATCCCAGGACCCTGAGATCATGACCTGAGCCGAAGGCAGAGGCTTAATCCACTGAGCCACCCAGGCAGCCCAGTATATTTTTTAATTAAGAATTTTTAAATGGCATACCCTGAATATTTTCAAAACAACACACAAAAACTAAGGTAGACTTCTCATTTAAAGATGATAGCTATAGGCCTCGGAGATCATGTATTACACATTATTTTCTGGTAATAGTGATGCACCTAAATTAATCCTTCTCTTGCTCTCTCGTAGGGAAAAGGTACAAATCATGAGCCAGCCATCAGAGTTAAGATAAAATCTGTATCCATGAAAAAAAAGGAAGCTAAATGACTCAATAAAGAGAATGAATTATTGCCCCTGACTTCTTAATAAATGTTTTTACCCACTGGACTAACTCTAGTCACTGATCACACAGAGAATAATTCTTATTGGAAACCTGGGGGAGGGGAGCTATCTCAAGTAGAAACTATCCTACTAAGGGCCTAAGTTCATTTTGGAGATAATCAGCAGTCACCTAGTGCACTTTCCTCACACAAGGTCACAGTTCAAACAAGAAATAAAGTTAAAAGGAAAAGTAGGCAGCAATAAATCCAGAAATATTCCCCTGTGCGGTCAGGATGAATTCCTGCTGCTGGTTAAAAGGAGCCTGTTTCAAATATGTTGTTCCCCCATGCAAACACTGTAACCCAGACTCCGATCTGTGAAAGGTTCCATAAGTTCTCCTAGCATACCTTTATATAACATCCAAACAATGATAAGCCCATTTTGATCACTGGTTGTCAACTTCTGATACTGTTCATTCCATGTTACGACTTGAACAGAACCTAAAAAAATTTATAAAACAATTTAGAAACTTAAAAAAGGCTACAATTTCAAATTTGTATTTTTATAATAAACACCAACAGCACGTTCAAATCAACGCGGTTCCTACGCAACTAGCTACTCTTTAATCAATCACTCAAAAATATTCATAGGATGTAGTCACTATTGTCACTCATTTCCCAAAACATGTGATACTAATTTTCATGTCTGTTCCTATTTCAGGCCAGCAAAGGCACCTATTACAGTCAGATGCAAGAGCTGCCATTTATCTGATGACAGAAACAAATTTTTTTTTTTTGACAGAAACAAATTTAATTAAGATTTACCAAGCTGGACTGGCTCCCAAGGATATTAATACCCAAAGGACATCATACTAAGTACTTGAATTTTTTTTTTTAGGGGGATAAGGGGTTGTTTGTAGTTGGTATATGCCCTAATTTCTCTTTTCCCCCCTCTTGTTTTCCATTCTATTAGTAATACACTCTTTTTTTTATGTTCAGTTAGCCATTGTATAGTACATCACTAGTTTTTGAAGTAGTGTTCAATGATTTCGTTAGTTGCATAAAACACCCAGTGCTCATCACAACACGTGCCCTCCTTAGTACCCATCACCCTGTTACCCCCATCCCCCCATCCCTCAGTAACACACTTTTGAGCATATCTTAAACTTCTTGGTTATATGAACAACTGAGGAGTTTTTTTTTTTTAATCCCTAAATACTTTATCATTTATTTCCTAAGAAGACATTCTCTTTCATAACCATATTATAAGTTAGTGAATTTAACACTGATATATTATTATCTAACCATAGTCCACACTCAAATTTTATCAATTGCCCAAATAATGTCCTTTATAGGTATTTCTTTTTCTCATTCCAAGATCCAATCTAGGATCATAGAGTGCATTCAGTTGTCATATCTCTTTAGTCTACTTTGATGCAGAACCATGGGTCAGATTCTAAAACAGGATTATATCCTATCCGTAGACAAATAACAGTATTTTTTAATATATAAAGTAAGCCTGACTTTGTTTTAGATTTACTGAAGATATTGTTTAATCGTGTAAAAGTTGTTGAAGGACTCTAGGCTCAATTAATTAATTATGGCTCAGCAGAAATGATTACTTTAAATATCACCATTATTAAAAATGATAACACTTCTGCAGTAAGTAGATGGTTTCTAGCCTAAAGACTATTCAAATGATTTTAAAAATTACATGACTCACCACTATGACCTTCGAGAGTCTGATTCATAGAAAGGTTACTAGGGGCAGCAAGACCCCTCAATTTTGCATCATCTGGGGGAAAAAAATATTACAGCAAATACATTAAAGTAACAGATTATAAGACTTGACCTTTCTTGCTTATTTTAAGAGGAAATCCTATTCCTGGATGATATTAGAAAAAATTTTTTTTTAAGTATGCCTCATTCTGATCTACTTTTCTCATGGTGGAAACATAGGAAAATAATATGTACCCCCTTGTAAAGATATTATTCTGGCAAAATAAAGCAAAATGTGTTTTTAAAATTGGTTACCCAATATATTAAATATATTAGTAATTATTATTACTACTTATTCCTTCCCAAAAGATCATAAATACAAGTATTTATGACATACAGACTGAAAAGTCTAAAGTATAAGAGGGATCAGAAAGCAAAGACTTTGGAAATCAGTTTTTACCAGATTTTGCAGAATCTTTTGTTCATTCATTCATTCACTAAATGTCTACATTGTGCCATGCACTGTGGAAGCTTCTGAATATAAAATGACAAATGAAATGAAATAAGGCGTCCCCCCAGAGAGCTTGTAATCTACTGAGGAGACAGAGATACTAAACACACACTCACCCACCCCCATAAATATAGATGCATATATGTAAAATTACAAATTGAGGAAGTAAAGCCATAATAAGAGATAGTAACAGAGGGAGATTAGTTTAGATTGGAGGGAGGGAGAACCAGGGAAGGCTTTCTGAAGAAATTACATTTAAGCTGAGACTGAGGAATAAACTAGAGATGGCAAGGGAGGTGGGGAATAAGAGGGGGGAAATGGGGAGTGGTCCAGACTCAGAAATAGCAAATGCAAAGGCCCCAGGGTTGAAGTGTAGAACCTTTGAATCCAAAATGGAATTTAGTTCAGCCCTTTATCTTACAGAAGACTGAACTAAAACCCAAAGATGTTCACCAACTTGCTGAAAGTCACTCAGTATGGCAGAGCTGAGATTCCGATTCCAATCTCCTCATCTAGATCTCCGACAGAATCGTCTAGCTCTCCATTCTAGAGCAACACTATGGATGGTAAAGGAAATGTGAAACTGTTTGCTATGATTCCAGAGAACCAAAAAAAAGAGAAAGCAAGCTGTTATCACATGAAACTTATGGACAAAAATGTTTTTAAAAGTCTCGTTTTCTCGGGGCGCCTGGGTGGCTCAGTGGGTTAAGCCGCTGCCTTTGGCTCAGGTCATGATCTCAGGGTCCTGGGATCGAGCCCC